TTTTTTTTTTTTTGAATTGGAAATCAGCTTAAATTTCTGTATTTCAAATTTGATATGATGGGCCCTTCCCCGGACCCCGATCATAGCGGAGCTTAATGCACCGGGCTGTCCTTTTTATTTTATTTTATATGACGATGTCTCTGCTTTTTCGACTGCTGAGTTATTTGCTGGACCTGTCTGGTTCTGGATCAATGCATTTGTAGCATACACGTAATCTTATACAATAGCTTCTGTTATTCATTCATTCATTACAGTCATCAACTATAAATGAAAACAAATAGACTGCACTTAAGTGTTCCTTATTTTCTTCAACTTGAAGTAATACAAAAAGATTAAGCCTTCTTATTTACAGGAAGTTGCTGTGAAGAAGTTCCTGGATCAAGATATAACCGGTGACTCCCTCGAAGAATTTAGAAGTGAGGTATTACCCTTGTCTAACATAGGCCACTATCAGTGTTCTTAATATTACAACGCTTGAAACTATCATCATTCCCCCAGAGATCTTACTCTTGAATAAGTTTTAAAAGCTGATGGCAAAATCGTGGAGGGAATAATTTTCAGTCAAATGCACAATTAGAACTATAGCTGCAAGCCTGTGACAGATGCTCTAGTTTTCAGTCAAATGCACATATTGAGAGAAGCATTCACATATTCAAAGGAAAATGTAGAAAGAAGTATGAAATCGTATGATCAATAGTTCTTTTTTAATTCTTATCAATTTTCTAGTCGATGCCCCAGTGTCTTGTTGCTCAGCTATATATACCAGAGATCTCGAATCTGAGTTCGTACTCTTGCCTTTTCTTATAACTAACTTGGATTATTAAAAGAAACTACACTATCAAACACAGTAGTAAGTTTAAGATTTTAAATCTAGTCTAGTATTGCATAAAATGGAAGAAAATGCAGTCTTCATGCATTGCATCACCGCTGGAATCCGAACTCCTCCTGTTGCGTTTAAAATCACACTTGTATTCCCTTTATGCCCTAATTAATCCTTTTCATTAATTTCCACATAATGTGAATTCCTCAGGTACAATTTTAGCATAATCTTAACTTACTGAAACAGTTTTGTTGCTTTTAGCATACTCCTATCTGACCAGAGGATTCTTCTATCTGTTAAGCAGAAAAGTTCAAGGGACAAATACGTACCACAGATACTGTATCCGAATTGTATTCCAACATTACTTGGAACAAATATATAGCAATACACAACATGATATTTAGTATTCATTTCTGTTTTGGTTGGCTTCATCAAAATTTCAAGTTACCAGAAAACGAAAAACTTTTTGTCACTTTTTTCCTAACTCATGCCTGATGATACATAGGTATTTAGTGAAATCAAGGCATATCAATAGACCTGTTGGTTTGTAGTTCTGCTTTTCCTGATCACGTTTATAATCTCCTATGGGCTTTTCTTGCTATAAGTCGTGGTCATGAATTATCAAATATATATACATAGCATGATGTGCGGTCATCATTAACAGTTTTGCCGTATTATTGTTAAAGTTGGTCAACATTTTTGTTCTTGAGCTAATTCGGGTTTAAACTTTAAACTGTCTTCTGGATAAGAGAGAACTCGGCAAGGAATTATATTTTTGTATCATATAGCAAGGTGGTATAATTATTTATTTAACTTCAAAAAAAAATAGTTTTTTTAATTTATAGTTCTGCTGCATTATTAACAAAGCCGATGAAAGTTTTCACGAGATTTTCTTTCTGAAGGGTGTAGCCGAAGGTATTGTGTGCTTCAATCCATTTTAATCAGTTTCTGAATTCTGAAACTAAACCAATCCAGTTTCCCCTAGCTGTGATGATAGCATCACAGTGCTTCATCTTCTGATGTGTTGCTTACCTTAACTTCTGGATTACAATTTGATTGTATTCTCTAAATTCATCTTGTGGCTTGCAAGGTACGGATCATGAAAAGGCTCAGGCATCCTAACGTTGTTTTATTCATGGGAGCTGTCACTCGTTCTCCACATCTTTCAATTGTTACTGAGTTTCTTCATAGGTATGTTAACTACTACGGTAAATTTAGAGATAATTGAAATATACCTCACTTTTATGGTGGTTTTGGTCGTCAGTTTATGTGAAGCGGTGGTTTGTATGTTAACCTGGAAACCTGAAATAGAACCATCAGTCAGCTGGAATTTGGACTGTGGTAATGATAACTTGAATTCAAAATATTTTATTTGGTCTGCAGAGGTAGTTTATACAGATTAATCCATCGACCCAACAATCAGTTAGATGAGCGCAGAAGGTTGAGGATGGCTCTTGATGCTGTATGCTCCACTTTTCATTTTTAAGTTCTCCACATGTTAAGCCATCTATATTAGTTTGTGACTTTCTGATCTGTGTGATTTACTGAACTAACAGGCTCGAGGGATGAACTATCTACACAACTGCACACCCATGATAGTTCATCGAGATTTGAAGTCTCCGAATCTCTTAGTAGATAAGAACTGGGTTGTGAAGGTGGAATTCCTTTAACTCTTAAAACTAGGCAATGTTGCTGCTTGCTTTTCACTAAGAATCCATGTGATGCGTTTTGATTTTTTCTGACTCTAGGTATGTGATTTTGGACTGTCAAGAATGAAGCACAGCACATTTCTTTCATCCAGGTCGACTGCTGGGACGGTAAGCAGCTCCTTGTTGCATTCTAAAGCTGCTGGTCTTGACAATATAACTTAATTTTTTCCCGATGATTTATATTTCTCTTATATATATTGTGTTTTTTGTTTCACACCGTGCCTGGGTATTTCTTTGGAGAGCCTTTCTCGATGTAAATTGTAATGCTTCTGTCCTGTGTGCTGGCTAAAAATTGCACATCATTTTATATCAGCCCTTTAGAAGATAAGGTCAACGCTGTTGGTCCTTATACTCTCTGGCCTTTGAAGATGTTTTTATTGCCATGTTTCTCCTGAAAAAATGTTGTTGCTATGTCCATGGTTCGGAAAGTAAGTGTTTTTATGTACTTTTGAAATGTGAAACATTTGATTGGTTTCTATGCTCTTCTATATATGTAGTGGTTTTCCACATCAGATCTCATAATTCTTCGAGTCATTTTGTTTCTCAGGCAGAGTGGATGGCCCCAGAAGTGCTGAGAAATGAACCTTCCAATGAAAAGTATGTCTAAACAAATGGTTTAGAAAAATTCCAGGAAATATTGGGGGACATTTTTGAAAATAAATTCTGTGTGTTTCTTCCTGGTATATGATGCTGATGTTGGACTATTAAACTGGGCGCTGCAGATGTGATGTATATAGCTTTGGCGTCATACTATGGGAGCTATGTACTTTGCAGCAACCATGGGGAGGAATGAACCCGATGCAAGTTGTTGGTGCTGTGGGATTTCAGCACCGACGTCTTGACATACCAGAGGACATGGATCCGGCTGTTGCAGACATTATCAGGAAATGCTGGCAAACGTGAGTATCTATAAAGTTTCTGTCCTGTGGCGACCAGCTTGTATATTCTTTCATTAGCTTTTGATGAATTCTGGTCAGGCATCCTGGTGGTTGTAAATTTTTAGTTGATACTTTTCTGAATACAACATAAAGGATACAGACGATTCATATAGCTGACCGCGACTAGTTCAGTATAAACATAGATGATTAAACGATGTGCTTTTCTACGTGCAGAGATCCGAGGTTACGGCCTTCATTTGCTGAGATTATGGCTGCTTTGAAACCACTACAAAAGCCTATAAGTTCACAGGCACCAAGACCACCGGCTGGCAGAGGTCCGGTAAAGGGTCAGCCATCACGAATCGTAGAAGATCCACCTGCAGATCAGAGTTAGTGAAGGAGGAAAGGGGAGTATCTCTTGTTAGACAATTGTAAATTTGTGCACAAGAAACTAAAGGAAGGCATCAAAAGATCCTGACAAACACATAATATTGAGCCAGTGGTGATTCTTTTGTTTCATCTTTTTAGTATTTTTGGCAGTGTTCCCCAGTCCTGAAAATTGTCTATCTGCCCTTGTATATTCACTTTGTAATTAAAAAGGAATATGTTGCTTAAAAGAAGCTCAAACTCTTCTCTTCAATAAGCGTTAACTAACCCAAACGCAAAGAATGCACTCCCTCTGCCCAAGTCATATGGCGGTGTTCGGATTTCGAGAGTCCCATGATTTTGTCATATACTTTTTAAATATTTGCATTGTTAATTACTGTGACTTATAATACCTTTTACATAGTTTTAAATATATAAATTTTATTTTAAATTTTTTTAAAGATTCAATAGCCGGATTCACGAGCAAAATTAAGAAATTTGATTCTCACGAATTGGGGCATAGAAGTAATAAACAAGGGAAACTATTAGCTATGTCCATTTATAAGTAGCTCATTACAAAAATTGACCAATTCCTAAAATATTACTAATATTAGCCAAATATTACTAATATTAGCCAATTAGCTATTTGTAGCAAAAAAAATATCAAATTTTTGCTTTCTTTTGAGTGGGTGCTATTAGAATAGATTCGGTATATCTTTAAGGAGCTTGAATCTCAGTTTTGGGACGATTTGGTGAAGTTTTAAGGTGGTTTGATTGAAAATTCGAATTAAAAACTGAATATGAAAAAAAATGATATGTGTATCACATTGTGTATCATTTGTGTATCACATATGTATCATATTTGTATCAATTGTGTATCACATGTATATCCATATATATATATATATATGTGTGAGATACATGCGTGATACATGTTTGATACATGTGTCGCAGAAGAATTTTTTGAACTCGATTTAATTACGAATTTTGATACAAAACCAGTCCAAATCACCCCCAATCTTCCTCAAATTTAGTAGGGATTTTTACCTAGCTATACTATATTAGAAACTTATTTACCTATATTTTCTATGTTTTGCAATTTTTAATAAGTATCTAGGTTTTTCTTACAACTTGTATACATTGCTTCTTAATTCAATTAAGGGATTCAATTACGTCCTTTCCTTTTTTTTTTCTCCTTCTCATCTTCTTTCTCCTTTTTTTAAAAATCAAAATCCCTTAATCTACGTCCAGAATCTCCATCTTCTCTCTTCACCATTGCCTACAGCTTTATATTATTAAAAAATATTCAGAAATTGTATGATAACTATATCATAATTGTAGTTGAATTGTATCATATACATCAATGCCTAAAACATAAATGTATCATACTTGTATCACAATTGTATCTAACTTATATCTGGTACATTAATATCCAAAATAATACCTGATACGATACTAATAAATTAATATACAATTATCATATTTGTGATACAAATTGTGAAATTCGTCACGAATTCACAACTACTCTATACAGTGAATATACAATTATCATATTTGTGATACAAATTGTGAAATTCGTCACGAATTCACAACTACTCTATACAGTGAATATACAATTATCATACATTTGTAATACAATTCCTGCAACAATTATGAAACATATACAATTATAATACAATCGCGATACATTTCTGAAAAATTGTGATACAATTATGATTTTCATCTTCCTCAAGTTTCAATCACAACTCTACACTAAAAATTTAATATAATAATATTATAATTATATTAGTATTGTATCCACAACTTACCCACAACTTGATTGTAGAGCAAAATTTTGAACATTTTCTATATTGTATAAATAAGAAAGAAATTTTGGATGATTGAAAGAGAGAAATCGAATATCAAAAGCTTTGGAAGAAGAAAGAATAACTTTGTAAGAGGAGTGAGTAAGCGAGATTTTTGGGTTAGAAAGATTTTGGGTATCAGTGGGTAAGGGAGAATTCTTACGGTCGGTAAGTACAAATTTGGATAATTATTAAAGAAAGAGAGAAGATGTGTTTTTGTAATCCTTTGGAAAAAGAAGAGAATCTTAAATGTAGGAGGATTATGTGTAACTGATATGCTATATTTAAGGTATATTGCATTTCCTCTTTTTTATGGTTTTGTATAAAACTAGTAAATTTTAGGTATATAAAATAATTAATAAGGAACCTAAATAAAGGTAGTAAATAGGTTTCTATTATAGTATAGCTAGGTAAAAATCTCAATTTTGTATATTGATTTATCTATATGTTTTCAATGAATTTCAACTATACCCACTAGAAAAAATTACTTTTTTGTTTAGATTTTTGGAATATTGTATATATTTTTTTTTTTGTATTTTATCACCTTATTTGCTACCTCATCCATGAAATTTCCTTTCTGTCTTGCATCTAATGTTGCTAATCACGCTTAAAATATATGGAAGGTGATTTTTGCATATGATTCTTTGAGAGAAGGAACCTTATTTATTTGGTTTTTCAATTTTTATATGTGTTTGACTAGTTTTGGTAAGTCTATGACTAATGGCTAGAGGTTGGTAAGTTGAAACTTATTTGGGATATTTGTGTAAGTTTCCCAATAAACAATGGGGGTAATATGCATGTTATACTTTCTTAAGGACAGAAGTACGACATTAAAGTGGGCGTTTGGACATAAGAATTGTAAAATTTCCAAAAAGGTGAAAAAAAATTTCAAAGTAAAAATGGTATTTGAAATTTAGCGGGTGTTTGGACATAAGAATTGTAAAATTCCAAAACATGGTGAAAATTGTTTTCAAGTGAAAATGGTATTTGAAATTTAGAGTTGTGTTTGGACATGAATATAATTTTGGTTGTTTTTGAAGTTTTGTGAGTGAAAATTTTGAAAAACAACTTTTTGAAGTTTTTCAGATTTTCAAAAAATTTCAAAATGCATTTTTCAAATTTTCAAAAAATTTCAAAATGCATTTTTCAAATTTTCAAAAATTTCCAAAATGCATCTTCAAGTGAAAATTAGAAATTTTATCAACAAATGCTGATTTCGAAAAAATGTTTTTTTTGGAAAACAGGGGAAAAAATTTCATGTCCAAACGGGCTCTTAGAGTTGTGTTTGGACATGAATATAATTTTGGGTTGTTTTTGGAGTTTTGTGAGTGATTTGAGTGAAAATTTTGAAAAACAGGTTTTTGGAGTTTTTTAAATTTTGGAAAATTTCCAAAATGCATCTTCATGTGAAAATTTGAAATTTTATGAACAAACGGGGATTTCGGAAAAAAGCATATTTTTTTTGGAAAAAAGGAAAAAATTTCTTATGTCTAAACGGGCTCTTAAATGTCTTAAAGGTGGTAAATTGATTAGCCTTGCAGTAAAATATTTAGTTTTAGAAGTATATAAAATATACTGAACACCCTTTGTCGAGAATTTTATTTTTACTTCTTTTAAATTTAAACATCCTTCTATAAATTTCTGGCTTCGCCGCGGTTCATGCTCATGATATCCAATCTTTTAAATCAGTGAAGCAGTGTAAAACAAAAGGAAGGAATCAAAATTTATAGTAGTAGCTAAGGTAAACAAGGAAGGAATAAAAAATCACGAAGGAGAAAATTAAATGAGAAAAGATTTGGTAAGTAAGACAGAAGACAAGTCAAAAGCAGCAAAAATTCAACAACAAATCCTAACCACAAACAAAAGGCAGTAGATTATGAGGACAATACTAGTGGTGACGTAGTACAGATCGAATAAACAAAGACAACCAATTGTCATTGAGACAGTAGTACGTACCATTTGTTTGAAGAGTCATCAATGGGGACAGTTATCGACTCCCATTTCTTGGGACTAACTGCCATTGTTACAGTAACCACCTCCTTCCTTTTTCTTCATTCTTTCTTCCTTTACACACAAAGAAAATCTCTCTAATTAATTCACACTTTATTATCTTTTTGTTGGCAGGTTGGTTATCAGTTTATCTTTTTTATAATTACAGCACTCCTCAAGTTTGATAAAGTCACTGACTTCGCGGGTAAGAATGTTTGTCCTCTAAAACTATGTTTGGCGTAATTAATATAATAGTTTGAAATTTGTTTTACTTAAAGAATATCTGCTGTGTGCCTATTTTGGAGCTTTTTAAAGTCTAGTAAAAGGTTTGTTGGTAGCAAGATTAGCACCCCTTGTTCCTTGAAGTTTGCATTTAAGAATAAAGAATCCATTTTTTGGGTGCAATAAGACTTTGTATTCTCAAATAATATCATAGGGATTTGCATTTATTGCGGAAATTCTCAGTTGATATTGCCACGACCCAAGCCGATGAGATGTATTGTCTGCTTTGGGCCTAGGCCCATATGTATTTGTCTTTCGGGCTACGCCACCTGACACGCGTACCATGTGAACTTGTATCATTCCTTATAAAGCTCTATAGTTTCCTAACATGTCACAAATATCATAGGATTTGCATTTATTTTTGAAGTTCACCATGTTACTGCTAAAAGAAGCTCAATTATGAACCATGATTTATCACTTTTTGTTAATGATGTCTGTCATTTTCTCATTATCTTCACACAGGAGGTACAAATTTCATTGTTCTTGCAGCTTTAACTTTGATACTAAAGGGTTCATGGAATTTTCGACAGGTAAGTCGTTTTCTTCAGTTTCTGATTTAATTTTGCTGTTTGTCTAATTTAGTTCAAAGTTAGAAAGAAGAGCAGCTTCCCTTCTTCTTTGTCCCACATACCTTTAGTCAGTCCAAATGAGAGCTTTGCTTTGAAATGGAACTGCATTATTTCTCCACTGAGAATTTCTTACTCTAATGAAGTCGATCTTACGAGCTTTTAATTTTTTGTTGCACATATTGGCGGCATTTTGTGCATATCTGGATCAAGAATGATCTTAAACACATAATTAAGCATGCCCCAAAGTTGTTGCATATATAGTTTTTTAAACTCTATTTTGCTTATCTTTCAGGTGGTTTTGTCTGTGTTTGTCGTGATATGGGGCCTTCGACTCGGGCTATTTCTATTAATGAGGTAAGACCACCATTTTATTGTGTGTCATGTGTTAGTCGGATAATTTCTCTTTTCACATTAGATCCTAATTCTGTCTTTCTCACAATTCAAGATTTATAAAATCCTTTGACATTGTTTCCATGCTCGATCTAGTTGTATGTATAGCATCCTATTTTTGTAACTTACTGTTACACTGTGTGGATAGTACTGAAACACCACTCTCATAAATACTCTTAACGGTACCATCTCCACATATA